ACTGAGTCAACGAGTTAATGAACACCTACCTTAGTGACTAGGAAAGGGTACCGTCATAAAAATAGGCAACTCTATTCTATCACACTTGATCGATAGAGTTCATGTCGTAGAAGTAGGTAACTTAAATTGATTTGTCATATTCTCACTAGTTTCCCTTATAAGGTTCTATCTCATCTCTTACACATAGCAGAAGCTGTAGGAATTCGAGGTAACAATCCAAGTCTTTGTATTCATAAGAAATCAGTAACACTTTTACACCCCCCTCATGGCCTGAATAAATGATTTTATTTATTATTATTATTTTCCATACTATTTGTTCGTTTATTTTTCTTCACCCCTCCCTTCGTTTTTTTCCAAATATACACTTCATTGCCTATAGTTTTTATAAATGTTATTTCAGCACATATGTGTTTTTCAAGTCATTCACCTATATCTCGTTATGTAACATTGATTCAATCCTTTATTTTTGTTTATTTTAACACATAGATATTGGTACAAGGAGGCACCAAATACATATGCACCACACAGATCTCATTTGATATGTGTGAGGGCTATGATACTGCCCGGATGCCCAAACCGAAGCAGGTGGTTTTCTTAAGGGGCCACATCCAGAGCCTTCGACCTGAAAATCTGATCCACAAGGCAGTGGAGCATCGTAAGAAGATGCAGTCCCATGGTAGTCGGTGACCAACGATTGGTTCATACACCATTTGTTCCGTCAGGATACTGGAACCCATGTGCACGATTGGTTTTGGGATCCGGTTAAAGCCGGTGCCGGACATTCGCTTTTCGTCCTCTCAATTTCTCAAACAACAGCCGTGGTGAGAGAAGGCAGTGAGTAGGACTTCCCTGGCAAAGGCTTTATACGCGTGGCCATGTGAAAGCATTTCGAGAGGGAGAGAGGTCTCTCACTACTCTCGGCCATACCAGGGCATTTGGGGGCTCATTTATTATTCTTATCACAACTAGTACACTTGTCATCATATTACCAATGTGTACTGTTTAATTATTTAAGCTATTTCACTGTTATCATTGACTCAGAAACTGCCTTGATTGGTTTAATTAATTCCGTATATTCATAGAAACCTTACCCTATATTCAAGTAGAGCTTAATGAGGATCTAATCAAAAACAATATTGTTCTAATTAACAATATGGAAATTTTGTCATTGGCTCAGGTGCATCCACTCTTTATTCAAACCCTAATCTTTCCAATTACTACTTATACTTTTACTACCTTTATCACAATGGGATTTGTATCGACAATTGTATCTGTGTGCTAATGTGATATGGAAACTTAAACATCTTTATAGATTTTTTTACTACACTGACTCGGATTCATTCTTTTAACTGAGGTGGCCTATATATGAAATATAATGAATTCAAAGTTGTCTGATTAGCGATTATTTCGAATGAAGTTGAAGTACTAATAATGTGACCATTATCAGGTAAATAATGAGTAGATTCCATATTGACCTTCGGTACGATTACACCTATATTGGTATCCTCAATGGAATTAATACTCAGACATAGCATGAATATGCATACTTTGTTCCATAAAGAACTTTATAAACAATAGAAGGTCGTTGCAATTGAATCATTACTGTTGTAGTGGACAAGTACATCAATGGGGACAATAGAATGTATTTAAACACATAATTACAGAGATTATCAATCCATCATATCAAATTTGACTGTTCCTGAGGCAAACACTAATCGATTGTCTCAGATTTCATTATTCACGCGTTTTCATACTAATTGCATTGTGTTTCCACTCTTCCTTTCTTAATCTTCCCCCATCTTCTGCTGCCAGGCATTACGTTTTTAACTTGCGTCATATACTACTTATATCAATATAAGTAGCGCACACCACACTGTGTTTAAACATAGACCGTTTGTTTTTGAAAAATTAGAAAACGAACTTCTAAAAGTTAAAACAGACAAACTAGAATTTTCTCATTGCTATATCACACAATTATGACTATAAAATTCATGGTGAAGGTGAAAGCCTACCCAAAACGTTTAACACTGTTCATCAAACAATCATTCATACAAAGAAAGAAGTAAACAGGGAGACCACTTCGTTCTAGACGTTTTATTGATGGGAAGCCTACACACATCTATAACATACACAGTTTTCGAGCTTTGTCCCATTAAAATGTAAAAGAAACGTAATCAAATCCTCAGCTAACAAAGCCAACATCATTTTTTCTGATTATACCTTTGAAGAGAACTAAAATTTGTTCTTGGTTTACTAAATAAACACATATAATCATCAAAGTCCTTAGTGAAACATATGATATATAGAACTAAATCTGAAGTTTAATCACTACTGACTGGTACAAAAAAATCTTTATTCTTGAAGTTCAATTCAAAGATGATATAACTAGTGAAACATCAATTCAACAAGCACAAAAATCCATCAAACGTACATTCCGTGAACGTGTAGTGACCTACTTTCGTCAACAAAACGCGATTGGTTCAATGAAAACAATCCTTATTATAACCAATTGTACCAGGGATTGTTTTACCGTGCTCGTTTATTTAACTGTGCTAATGACAGCCATTACTCTCCCGTTGACTTTGAACTTGTACGAATTCTGTTACGCTTAGTAACCACGCTTGTACTCCTTTGGCACGATCTCGGTATTCTTTCGATATCACGAGATCGCAAGCAAATACATCTCGACTACAGCTATCATCTGCCTTCTGATATTGACCTACGGGGATATTATTGGTTAACTGGAACGTAATCTTCTTGTAGTGGTGTTCATAGTTAACCGCGACTCGATGCCACACTACAAACGATTACCCAATTCTTCGTTTAATCAACTAATAGAGTTCATCTATATGTATTTACCATTTTAATTGCTCTAGAGGACTCAGTTTTATTAGACTTACAATCACATGAATACATTTCTGAACCACAACTTTTATTGTCGATTAAAAGACAAAAGGAGACCTATCAGTCAGTCAATAGTGTCCTACTTATGTAGATATAAGTAGTATATGATGTTTGTCGTGAACAGAATGTCTGGCAGCAGAGAGTCAAGAGGATTGAACAGTAAAAAATGAAAACAGAATTCAATTTGTATGAAAATACAGGAACAATGAAGTCTGACTCATTTTCAGACAATTGATGGACATTTTGCAAATTGAGCATTTACGATATGATTGTTAGATTTCGTTAACATGTTCTGTAATCTGTTGGTGTTCTTGTTCACTACAATACTAATGCAAAGCTCTGATTTATGTTTCAATAGAGTTTTATGAATTAACTTCAAATGTTCGGAAATGTGCTCTGTAAAACCTTCATTCCTCTTTTTATGACATAAGTACTTTGGCACGTAAATACCAATTGGATGTAACATGAGATGGGAATTGATCCAATGCTACTTGTCTCAATAGATAATTTATTTGATACAACGAAACTAGTTCAGTGACTGAATACAACGTCCCCTACATAGTAATACATTCTAAAATTAATCAAGATTAAATTCATAATCGTAGTATAATTCATTCCCCTCGTTATCGTTTTCTCATACTTTATAATGAACCAATATATATAGTAGACACTGTTCAACTGTAGGTAACTATTCTTCTGTTTTCTCTTGCGAACTTAGTTTCAGTACACCACTAAATAGTGTACAACAAAATGTTGTTTCAACCTATCGAATAGAAACGATTGAAATTCAAATAAATCTTACTTCAACGATCTTTTTAATGAAAAGATAGTTCTATTTATCCAACGTTTTTAGTTACTCAAAGTAACCATTAAGTATTGTTATCATAATCGAAAATACTATTTAATGGCTTTGTAAAAACTGTATTATCTCTGATTTAATATAATTCTAGTTTACGACCGTTGTTGTTACCTTGACCTGGTGATCGGCCTTGCCTATCGTGATGGAGAAACTAAGCTATACTGGCCGGAACAACCGTTCCTCAAGGTCCTACCATGCCAGATAGGTCGGTTGAAGAGCGGTAAGACTAAAAGCAACAAATCCAAGGTCCGAAGGCGAAGTCGTACTGCTGACTGTACAGAGGTGTGACAGCAGTAAGGTGTTTCCTTCAGACAACCAGCATAACAGCGATGGTGCCTTCCCACAAGGAGGAGTGGGGTTAGAAAAGGTCGACCCTAAAAATGCACACCTCGCCTTATCCCATGGATATCCGTCTCCTGCGGTAAGGTCTCAACAAGTACGGAACTAACACAAAAACTACTCATAAAAAGGTCGTGCGTGACCGACCTCAAGCAGCTGTCCGTTGGGCACTGCGGTCACCCTCTCAGGTCAATTCGATCACCTCTAATCCAATTTCCTTTTCAGGTACCTCCAGCAGAACCCTCCCACAGTGTGGGCAACCGGGAAGTGAAAACCGCCCTCATACCTCTAACAGCACTCAAGACCACTGTATTCATAATCAACCTCCCTCTTCAATTCTAGTTTCCAAATTTGACTGTGTCAACCAACCAGTAAAGAAGAAGAAGAGTCACAATTGATGGATCACTGAGTGGTGACCAACGTCATGCGTGTCTAGTCCTTATTATTAGTACAGATCGAATGATATTTAGGTGATCAATCAATTGTGATTACATCTCAGTCCTACAGGAGGTTAGTCGCGGCCCGGATAGCTCAGTGGTAATGTCTTTGACTGTGAAGTTGGATGACACGGGATAGAATCCGTCAGGGAGCACCAGTTCCCTTGAAGATTACAGGTATACCGTGTTGACGAGTGTCAAGTAGCACGAAACTCAGGTTGAGCAGGGTTTCCTGTCGACTACCTCCAATCACCATATAATCTGACAAAGAACAGCATTGAAATCTTTGCTATAAAGTGTCAAAACTCAGTTGTTTATAAAGATTATAGAGTTTACCCAAACAGAAATGAAATAAGAACAAACAATTGATTACATAACTATGATTATTATTATTATATCTAACTATTGTATAACATGAAATATACTACAAGAAGATAATGTTCATTAATCAAACATTATTACTATTCTATATTACTATATGCTTTATTCCATTGTCCAATTTGTTTCTCTGTATAACTATACGCTATAGGTAGAAATGCTTGAGAAATTTTTGCTAACAATTGTATAATACAATATGAAAATGGATTCAATGTTATTTGTCCAGATAGTAATGAATGAATGGCTAATAGACCATAAGATAACCAACCAAATATATTGAATAATAAAATTGAATTATTCAACTTCATTGAATGATTCAATGAAGGTAATGAAAAAGAGAAAAAAGTGAAGAAAAAAAAACACTTCATGAATATATATGTAAGATAATAGAATGAAATGGATAACATTTAAGTAGACATTAAGTAGAAATTCTGAGAACTTTATTCATGATGGTCTGACATTGTTTAATCAAGATTATATGTACAATGTTGAATCGGAGGCTTTTGATTTTTCTTGATGTCAGTCGGTCAGTAAAGTAACAACGTGGAACTTCGTAAGTACGTACATCAGTTTGAGTTGTCATACCACATTAGCAAAGAGATTCAGTTATCGATTCAAATCCCGTAGTGGTAGAGGTAGTAAAAGTATAAGTAGTGATAGGGAACATTAGGTTTTGATGATGTTATTCAAGGAGTATAGTACAGTGGTATAAATTTGGAAAGAGAAAAAAGAAAGGGACATGAAGAATTGAGAAGATTAGAGTTTGGGAGAACACAAAGATTGGATGCACCTACCCAATTGCAAACGGTTTTGAGCCATGTCTCTAATCATCGGTTGCTATCATCTAACGGATCTCCACCAGGTAGGCTAAACCTACGAACATGGTTCACTCAGTCCACTTGTCACTAACTTCATGGATTTGTTCTATGTTTTGGTCTGGCGACACCTAGCTTTCTTCCAACCCATTCCTACACCATTGAAGATCGTTCGTCGGGGCAGTCGGTGGTCAGGCACACGTGACACATGTCCCAGACATCTCAACTGATGAAGTTTCACAACTTCATCAATTGATTTGATATCTTTGCCTAGTACCCGTTTCCTAACAAATGAGTTACTTACTCGGTGGTCCCACGACATACGAGCAATGTTTCAAAGACATCTATGGTCGAATACTAGTAACCTACGAATATCCTCTATTCTTACCGACCATGTTTCACTGACATAAAATTGGACGGAACGACCTACCGCACAGTAAACTCGTCCTTTGGTTGATAGACGGATATCTCGCCTACACCATAAATGATGCAAGTTGGCAAAAGCTAGTCGAGCCTTTTGTATCCGTGATGAGATTCCGTCACCTACCAGACCACAAGGGCTGATGAGACTTCCAAGCTGAGTGAAGCGGTCGACATGCCCAACTACTTCACTCTCTATCACTAGTTCGGGTGTCGATGCAACCCAATCCTGAGTCAACATCTTGCATCTCAAGGGAAAAAAATCTCATGCCGGACATGCTTGCATTGTTGCTTAGAGTGGTCAGAACACTCTGGATTTTGTCAGTGTCTTCACCAAATAGAACTATGTCATCGGCATACTCTAAGTCAAGAAGTGAATCTTTCGGTAGAAGTTCAACCCCTGGTAAGTCAACGACAAAGTTAAACAAAAATGGAGCACGATGAGTACTAGATTATCAAGTTACAGCACAGTAGTTTGTACCTTTAACACTAGTCAATGTACTGCTTTGCCTAACCATCATCTTAAACTGACTAACACCATATAGAATCTGGTGTTGAGAAAACTAAAAATCAAACCTGATCATATTAAGTCTAACATGATCATTCATAAGAAGATTACTAATTAAGCAACATTTTCAAAGAAATGACATCTGTCATCCGTCAGAGATCAAGAAAACTTGTATTGAGGAAGTTTATTCACTGACCGATAAGATTTTCATTTAAAAAAGGCGTCTAAAACATTTAACAGAATGTCAAAGTAAAGTAGAGCAATCACTTTCAGTGAATCTTTATGAAAAGTTAATCCAGGGAGCGAAAAGATAATGTGTTCTAAGAAACTCAATACCAACGATCGTTTATACCGATAGTTTCCCATTATTATCTATAACAGACGTTACAGTATCCTATTCACATATAAATGACCATACTATCCGAAATATGTTACTCATTACATGATAAAGTAATCCAAATAGAAGGGATTCTTCGTATTAATCCCAAATTTCGAATATAAAACAGTTTTTACATCACTTTGCCTTGTTTCAGAGGTATAATATGACATGGCCATTTCGTCCTAGTATGGAACTCCTCAGCAGTGTGCATCCACAATCCTACCCGGCGGGATTTGAACTCGGGACCTACCAGCCACGCGCTCGAACACTTAACCTCTAGATCATTCAACCATCACCTAGCAGTGCTAATATCTAAACGATCCATGAAATTGCTCCATCGTCCGGTGCTCCTAGGTTTTCCATGGTGGTTCACTATATTACAGACTTTTATTTTTAGGATTTTCTGGGATACTCTAAAACTGGATAAGTTATTTGATGTCTTCATATAAACACCTTATGGAAGTTATTCTTCTGTTATAATTTGGTCTTATAACCAATAAAAGAAACCAAAACAATAGAACTGATCTATTGAGTTATACAAATCATTGATCTTTAATTAGTTAAACAAACCTACCTTTATAAGGATTTCAATCTTCCTAGTGTTCTTATTATTTTTATTTGTATCCAATACTGTATACTGTATCAGTTTATATTGTGACCAAATACCGATACTGAATGGAAGGATATAACCAAATATAATGAGTGAAAACATATATAATTTCATGCTTTGATCCATATTAGTCCAGTCTAATAAACATGATGTTTTATGAGGTTCTAATGTATATCTGAAATATTGGAAAAAAAGCTTAAATAATGATTTGATATCATTATCAAGTGTCGATTTGATAATCATTTCAAAACACCATTAAGATGTTATAGGTTGTTTAGGATAAAAAGGAATAATCATATACTTTGAATGTCCTAATGAAGAAGCAATTTTGTAGTGGATTTGCTTTGTTAGGCTCAGTCAGGCAGTCAGTCAGTCAGCTGCAACGTAGGACCAGGCATATATATGCATCGGTCCAAGTTGTCATACCGCATTAGCACAACAAGATGAACACCGGATTCATAGAAGTAGTTAAATCAGTGGTGGTAATATATAAAAGAAAGATTGCATATAAGAACATAGTACAGGAGAAAAGAATTAGTTCGTAGAAAGAAAGATTTGAAGTGATGTTAATCTCTTAATTTAAAGGAAAACAGAGAGTGTATACACCTACGCCATTGTGATCGATTCTGAGTCATGTCACCAAGAATCTCCAACCATTGGTTACGATCATCTATCACCTCGATAACCGTTATTATTATAAATCTCAACAATATTTGAAATCACAAGGTAATGAGAAACAGCATTTATAGTTTATTAGCGTGTAGAACAGATCACAAAGCTATAAGCATGTCAAGCTCATTTGAAGCAGAGAGGTAAATAGATATCTATAATCGAATACATAGGCAAATTTATACTCAAACTGCACATAAGGGCACAGCGAAGCAAAAGCTAATAATAGGATTTGATTACATATATACATGAGGAAGAGAATGAATCATCTAGTGATATTTAACAGATCAACATCTTAAATAGAGTTCGCCATATGATCTAGTGATCATTACAGTACAAAAAATATGCGAATGTTTACTATTGTACTGACCTATTTTTGTCAACAGAACGCAATTGGTTTAATGGAAACAATTATTATTATAACCAATTGTACCAGGGATTGTTTTACCGTGATCGTTTATTTAACTGTGCTAATGACAGCCATTACTCTCCCGTTGACTTTGAACTTGTACGAATCCAGTTACGCTTAGTAACCACGCTTGTACTCCTTTGGCATGATCTCGGTATTCTTTCGATATCACGAGATCGCAAGCAAATACATCTCGACTACAGCTATCATCTGCCTTCTGATATTAACCTACGGGGATATTATTGGTTAACTGGAACGTAGTCTTCTTGTAGTGGTGTTCATAGTCAATTGAGACTCGACGCCACACTACACTATTCCAACAACAATGTCTGTTAAATAAGCTTAATTAAAATTAACAATAATCAAAATTGGTTGTAGGATAGGTACCTATAACTTATACTGAGCGAATAAACATCAGAAATCCGATTTTCTATTCAATGAGATATTACAAACATACGATTACTACTAGTGTTATGACTTTATATCGTCTATTTATATTTTATAAATTTATGTGACCGTAAATTTGACTAATCGATGTTGACCTGTTTAACTAAGGTACCTTGTTGACCTGCTAGACAGTTACTAAAATAGCATTCTCTTAAAACACATACTGAATACAATTTCCTAATCAATATAGATTTTTGTTTAGTCTTATTTATTTGATCATAAGTCAGCTAATCCAAGATATGACTCTTATAAATATGCTAACATTATAGCTGGGAAATGTGTTACGTATGCCCAACCACCGACCGCCCTGACGAGCGATGTTCAATGCTGTAGGAGGAGGTTGAAAGAAAGCTAGGTACGGCCAAACCAAAACGTAGAACAAATCCATGAAGTCACAGACAAGTGGACTGAGTGAAGCATGTTCGTAGGTGTAGACTACCTGGTTGGGGACCGCGAGATGATAGCGACCGATGGTTAGAGACCCTGAACTACATGGCTCAGAATCGTTTGCAATTGGGCAGGTGCATTCACTCTTTGTGTTCTCCCAAACTCTAATCTTCTGAATTATTCATGTCCTTTATTTTCTTTCCAAATGTATTCCACTGGATTATACTCCTTGAATAACATCTTCAAACCCTAATGTTTCCGATTACTGCTTATATTTTTAATACTTCTACCACTATGGGATTTGAATCGATAACTGAATCTCTGTGCTAATGTGGTATGGCAACTCGAACTGATGTACATACGTATGTACGTACAAAGTTCTACGCTGTTGCTGACATACAGCTAACTTTATTCTGAATAAATATTTTAGGATAAATCTCAAAATAAAGTTAGGAATTAACTGCACTGTAAATTACTATTACTAAAAATTTACTAACCGGAAAATAAAGAAACTGTGTCTTGATTTGAAATTACAATAGTCAGTACATCAACGACAAAGATTTTCCACATTGAAAAGTTGTAATCAATAAGAGAATAAATTACAAATTTTCGCCTAATCCTTACGTTCGGAATTATTTATCAGATCCATGTGATGATGAAGAAAAGAGAATATGATGGTCTTTCATTAGTCATAATCAGTTATTAGTGTGATAGGTGAAATGTAGTCAACAGTAGTCCTAAAGTACCAGATATATTGTTTAATTCAAGCCCCTGAACTACATATCTTATCAAGTGCCAAGTTGATTGCTGAACATTACCACCACTGAATTAACTACTCCAATGAATACGGTGTTCGTCTTGTTGTGCTAATGCGGTATGCCAACTTGGACCGATGCACATATATGACTGGTCCTACGTTGTAGCTGACTGACTGAATGAGTTAAGGTGAGAAGACTGTTATTATTTGAGTGAATGGATCATAATTGTTAATATTTCAATATGATGCATTCAGCCTTCATTTGAAGCTGTAAGCAACCATATAGATTATAAGTTTTAAAAAAAGATACGCTTTACCTGCCGTATCCATAAAGTGGTAGAATAGCCCACAATGCACCGATTATCCAAATTCCAAATGGAATGTAATTATATTGATTAGATATGAAATTACGGACTGTAAAAAGAAAAAAACAAGGACAATAACTATCATAGTTCAATTTGACTTTCATTCTTAAAATTCATTTGCAGTGTTTTCGCTGCATTACCCCGAGAAATAGAGATAGACATAAGAAGATTGAACAACAGTTGAATAGAACTAGAAAGAAAGACCCCAGACAGAGTGGGTTGGAGAATACTGGTCGGCGGTCTATGCTCCACTAGGAGTAACAGGCGTAAGTAAATAAATTAGTCTTATAAAAGTCATTTCTCTCATGTAGATTATGCACTTATCAAATAAGAATTTCCGAAAGAAAAAAACAAATGTTTGTCGTTTACAACAAACAGTTATGATGCATCGTAGAATCACCATTTTAAAAATGTAGATTTCAACTAGAAAATCTAGTGGCTATATGCTAGCTGAAAGAAATGAAATTCTTAAATTCATATCCTAATACAAGCAAGGGCTGAATTCCTTCAATTGAAGAATATATGGAACTCAAAACAACTTTCAACCAATATCAAAGTCACAATCTTCAATACGAACGTCAAGGCAGTTCTAATGTACGAAGCTGAAACTTACAGAACTACAACAATCACCATCAAGAAGGTACAAGTATTTATCAATAGCTGTCTACGCAACATACTCAACATCCATTGACCGGATACCATGAGCAACAGCCTTTTGTGGGCGAGAACAAACCAGCATCCAGCTGAAGAGGAAATTAGGATAAGACGATGGAAATGGATAGGACATACATTGAGGAAATCATCAAACTGCATTACGTGACAAGCGCTAACTTGGAATGCTGAAGGGAAGCGGAAAATTGGAAGGCCAAAAAACACATTGCGTCGGGAAATAGAAGCGGATATGAAAGGGATGAATAAGAACTGGAAAAATTTGGTAAGGATTGCCCAGTACAGGGTTGGATGGAGAATGCTGGTGGGCGGGCTATGCTCCTTCACGAGGAGTAACAGGCGTAAGTAAGTAAGTAAGTAAATTCTAATATGGTTAAGAGTGAGCAAATTGTATTAAAACAACTGTCCAGTGCTCCATAGTATTTCCTGGTTTTTCATCTGTTTTCATAAATACCCATATAAAACCTAAGTGATATTATTCAATAATGTTGGTTAAATATTGGTTAATAAATTAGATACTACTAGGAATATGTTATATCCTGATGAGAATAATGATTGGTAACTTTTGGGACCCATTTACGAACCAACACTATGAGTATATTTTTATAGGATAATCGTTAAATAACTAAATTATTCATATCTGTGTTCCTCTTATTATAAGCTTCATTTTGACCTATGAACTATTATTATACGATCTACCATTCTTGAATTATGCTCTGTCTATTCGTGACTGCCTCCCACATTCACAACCACATTTGGCTAAATCTTGTACAAATGTTGTTTCCTATTTTATGATACGATGTGGTCTGCTTGGTTGGTATAAGAACAGAGTATGTTTGAAATATAATGATTCATATCGCAGAGGCTGAGATTGGTGTTCTGGACTCAACAGGTAGGCAGGGCTAGGCGGGAAGCAGGACCAATAAAGACTCAAGACTACCCGCACAGGTTTTACGCGTCATAGGTCCGACCGATAATTTACTGCTCTCTAATTGAGGCGGTATTATCACGTTATACATTAACAGGGCACACAAGTTATAACAGTATATAATCTTTGTCTACTTACTATAAGTTAAGTTCAATATTTCAACCATGGTGAAGAAACAGATAAAACACGACAAATAAATTGATGTCATTCCAAAAAACATTCCAGCAAATGAATATGACTGACAACCGAAATGACCAAAAGGCCATCTGAAATATTAAAAGAAAACATAAAGATTCAACTGGTAATTACTTTTCAACACTCCAAAGTTATGAAAACTGGAAAAAAAATAACTAAGGCTGAAGTAGGAGTATTTACAATCTCTACAATGTAATTGAAATCCTTTTAAACCAAATAAGATTATCAGTTTAGGGGTTGTGGAAATTGTCAAGTTTTTGATTGAGATCATGAACCGATTGATGTTAGACCACCATTGAAAAATCGGAATCATTGGACGGTCGTTTCGTCCTATTGTGGGACTCCTCAGCAGTGCGCATCTACGATCCCGCTCAAGGAATTCGAACCCAGGGCCTTCAGTCTCGCCCGCGAACGCTTAACCTACTGGACCACTGAGCCGGCATCCAATAAATAAGATTACTTGTTTCTTATAGATATATCTATACACATCTTTGAGTAAATGATCTTTAATATTAACTAATTATATTGAACTATTCTTGTGCTTTCCATTTTGTATTTCGATATAAGTTAGTGAATAGCGTTACAACTATCAATCAGTAGTACATATAACCTACAGACTTTAACACATTTACGGATTAAGTTAGTTGAAACAAAATACAATATTATGCTAGACAGCTTATTATCATTGTTTAGTTATACTATGGTATGTGCTACTGTCGTTGGCAGATATAAGTAGTATGTATCATCAACTGAACGTGTTATGCTTGGAGGTAGAAGATTAAGAAGACTGAAGAAAAGAGAATGAGAACAAAGAATGATTAGTGTGGAAAAAAAGGACAATTGACTGATTTTTTTTCCAAATGAAGTACTGACTGTATGGTTCTCAAATTTTGCTAAGAGCTTCTGTAATTTTGTACTGAAACATATTCGGTTGTGCTTATTTGTGTTCAGATTCACTACAATATTACTTGGTTATTACTCATTCCTAATAGTAGAATTTCAAATATAATCACGTTGATAAGGTTTGCGTTGATTGATATACTGAAACATGTTAGATATTTGTATTATGTACAATCTTTAGAAAGAAAATTCTGCATTCATGCAAAACGTTAGCTTAGAGGAGAGACTATGGTCTATGAGTAGATTACAGCAAAAACCATAATGAATAACACGATACAGGTGAATAAATAAATTGTATAAATAGACTGACGAATAACACCTTCAGTCAGTCAGTCAGTCAGTAACAACGTAGAACTTCGTACATACATACGTACATTAGTTCGAGTTGCCGTTCCACATTCGCATATAGATACAATTGTTGATACAAATTCCATAGTGGTAGAGGTAGTAAAAGTATAAACAGTAATCGGAAACATCAGGCTTTGAAGATGTTATTCAAGGAGTATAATGAAATGAAATAAATTTGGAAAGAGGTAAAAGAAGGAGACATAAAGAATTGAGAAGATTAGAATTTGGGAGAACACAAAGATTGGATGCACCTGCACCATTGCAAACGATTTTGAGCCATGTCACTCAAAGTCTCTAACCATCGGTTGCTATCGTCTCGCAGATCCCAACCAGGTTGTTTAAACCTACCAACATGGTTCACTCAGTCCACTTGTCAGTGACATCATGGATTTGTGCTATGTTTTGGTCAGATCGTACCTAGCTTTATTTCAACCCTCTCCTACAACATGAAACATCGCTCGCCGAGCAGTCAGTGGTTGGGCATGCGAACACATATCCCAGCGATCTCAAATGATGAAGTTCCATAACTTCATCAATTGATTTGACATCCTTACCTAGTACCCGTTTCCTAACAACTGTATTACTCACTCGATGGTCCCAGGATATACGAGCAATGATTCGAAGACATCTATGGTCGAATACTAGTAACCTACGAATATCCTCTACTCTAACCGGCCATGTTTCACTGACATAAAATAGGACGGAACGACCTACCGCACAGTAAACTCGTCCTTTGGTTGATAGACGGATATTTCGCCTACACCATAAATGACTCAAGTTGGCAAAGGCTTCTCGAGCCTTCTGTATCCATGCTGAGATTTCGTCACCCAACAAACCACAAGGGCTGATGAGACTTCCAAGATGAATGAAGCGGTCGACATGCCCAACTACTTCACTCCCTATCACTAGTTCGAGTGTGTATGCAACCCAATCCTTTTGTAATCATTGAGTCACACTAAAACATTTTTTAAACTATCAAGAGTATATAGGATCTATACTCATTGGAAATGATTGAAATTCAATGTTAGATTATATGACTTTATATATAGTATTCTTACGTAATCAGGGGTAAATTTGTGTAACTATTTATAGAATATTAAGTATTTCCTTAATGTTCTTCTTTCAATTAATCTATTCATTTCCCTATTCTTATCCATCCTGAATCCATTCGAAAAGACATGTTTGATTTATGAATCCATTAATCGTTGGTTTGATTATTGGATCGAATATCTAAACTTATTCTTTTTCATTGTATCAGTTGACATTTGATACCAAAACAAAATGTTTCAGGCTTTATATTTCTAGTTTTATGATATGGGTGGTTAATGCTATGAATGATTATCAAATTACAAAGATTAAGGCTTATTGTGTATATAACTGAAGAAGATTAAATACAACATAGAATCAACTAAATAATCTTTGCGATATTTTGATGGAATTCTGTACTCTAAAGTAGGCCGAAAATACACAAACTGGACTTTACTTCTATATTAAAGTTTGTGTTGATGATATTGTTCAGAAGAAGAACAATGAAAGTTCCACGATCAAGTTATCTAGCTCAGAGAACGAAACTCCATCAAAATCATCCACCTGAGCTACAAATCTTCTCCACTGTCTTAAACGTTTAGATATTCCAAACCATCCAGCTCAGAGAACAAAACTCCATCAAAATATTCCAGTAACGTTTGTAAACTTGAACACAAGTCTAGTAGTTCATCATCAATCGATTCATATCCTCTAGGATACTTTTAGTATATTTAACATTTCTTCACAAGACAAATAAGGAAAGAAAACGGGCATTTTGTCAGCTGTTTTATCTTGTAATCCATTTAAATTTATTATTATTTATTCATTTTAACATATAGATATTGGTACAAGGAGGTACCAACTTCATATGCGTCACATAAATCATTCGATTTGTGTGAGGTCTGGGATACTGCCTGGGTGAGCAAACCGAAGCAGGTAAATTTAAGCAGAACAGAGGAATAGATCGTTCCTCTAATTGCTGTTTCTACTCATTATCATACGACAAATATATCATCAATATATTATTTTTTTTCTGGTTAGCGTTTATTTAGCGAGTTAGCAGCAGCCTCAGCAGCAGTAGGTCTCAATATACACAAACGGAAAAGCAAGATTCTCCGATACAACACGGCATGCACCAATCAAACCACAATTGACGGAGAAGATTTGAAAGATGTACAAACGTTTACATATTTGGGCAACATCATCAATGAACAGGGTGGATCTGATGCAGATGTGAAGGCACGGATTGGCAAAGCAAGAGCAGCGTATTTACAACTGAACGACATCTGAAACTCAAAACAATTAGCAACCAACACCAAAGTCAGAATTTTTAATACAAATGTCAAGACAGTTCTACTATGTGCAGCCGAAACCTGGAAAACCACGAAAGCCATCATCCAGAAGATACAGGTGTTTATTAATAGTTGTCCACGCAAAATACTTCGGATCCGTTGGCCGGACACTATTAGCAACAAGCTACTGTGGGAGAGAACAAACCAGATCCCAGTGGAGGAAGAAATCAGGAAGAAGCACTGGAAGTGGATAGGACACATATTGAGGAAAGCACCTAACTGCGTCGCAAGACAAGCTCTCACATGGAATCCTCAAGGTCGAAGGAGGAGAGGAAGACCAAAGAACACATTACACCGAGAAATGGAGATAGATATGAGAAAAATGAACAAGAATTGGATGGAACTAGAAAAGAAGGCAGAGTGGGTTGGAGTGCGCTGGTCGGCGGCCTATGCTCCATTAGGAGTAACAGGCGTAAGAAAGCATGTAAGTAAGTATTATATTTCATAAAAGTTTGATCAAAGTGCATATTTATCCTGGAGTTTTAGTGGAGGTTACAAATCATAAGACTGAAATAATGCTAATTAGGATATGAACCATCCAAAAGTTAAATATGTATATTCAATAAGAATAGATGAAATTTATTCTTACCCTTTTTGATAAACACCAATTGCACTAAAAGGTGTAATTGCAATACAACCCAAACAAGCCGCAACCAAATGATAATGAAACTTTTTTAAACCATCGGGTAAAATAGAACTTATCTTCGTTAAACGTGAAATGTTCTTAGTGTGTAACCACAAGCCTAGTAAGCCTGAAATAGATAACACAAACTGATCAATAGTTGTGATAACTTTTAACTAACCTTCGCAATATTGTTCATCAATTCGAAACTTGTATAGCTAACTTTACATCCATTGGATTTCCAGTGTCGACTAGCTGTACAAGGATAAAGCTTCTTATGAACTTCTCTGTTTTTATTATTTAACTATGTATCGCGATGTTAGAAATAGGATTTGTTTAGTGAACTGTTGGTTTAAAATTAAGGTTTTTCGACTCTTCTAGGTGGATTCACCGTATCCACCAACTTGGTTAAAAAGCTGGACATTCGCTTTTCGTATTCTCAATTTCGTAAACAACACCCACACTTCAATAAAGCAGTGAGTACGACTTCCCTGCAGATAGCTGGATACGCGCAATGCTAACCGGTGTTAGGGATACTTGGAAGAAAGTTACGGGCGGCCAAACCAAAACGTAGCATCAGTCACCAATTTCTGGTCTGAGCCATGTTAATAGATGCACACTACTTGGTTGGGGTCCGCGTGACTATCGTAACCAATGGTTGGAGACTCTTGGTGACATGGTTCAGAATCGATTACAATGGCATTGGTGTATACACTCTCTGTC